GATTAGTTGCTTCTTGGAACTTTACTTCTAGTAACCTAAAAAGAGTTATCTACCTTGATTTTTCTAGTTCTTTCGTACTCATAAAATTGATAGATCAATAAGGACACCAGTTTGTATGAAGCTGTTGAGGGAGCAAGAAGATGGACAAATTTGCAATTGCATGTTTGGATTGCATTTTCTTGGATTTTTTTGTAAAAAAATTACTGTAGCAATTTGATGTATGTGAGAAAAAAGATAATAAGAAAATGTGATCACGAAAAACGACGCAATTTTCCGGTGAAAAATGGCTGTCCAAACACCAGGAATCTGTTGCCTGTGGGAGGAGTACTGCCAGTTCCAAGCAAGGGCAGGGAATGCAGGAGTTCAAAACTCTTCAAAGCAAAGTTTGACTACTCAATTAGTGATTGAGCAACCCTTTTGTTGTTCAAAACAAAACTTCTTGTTCTCTATAAATGAGTTTTATTGACTATCAAATACTACTAATTATGGTAAGATGAATTTTATTGTAGCATTTTAATTGTATTTGGAATTTTAGTGTCAGGTTTTGATATATTGATAGCTATTCTAAATCAGCATTCTAAAATCCACACTTTATATTTTAAAATTATCTATTACCTAAGTGGAATCGAATTGGAAAATATTCATGTCATCCATCCAGATGTGATTTATGTGATTCTCAAGAACCCAATTTGAAAGGGCTACAAAAAGCTAAATCTAAAATGATGGGATAACTTGTGTACAAATTAAGAAACAAATAAATATCAAAAGAAATTAAAGCACAAAAATATACAACCTCAACAAATCGAAACCGAAATTGGCAAAATAGAAGGCTTATTTCACTAAATATTATTATTTTTAGTTAAAATTAAGGGGGCCATTTGTTAACCTCCATGTATTTAGGGGAGGTAATGTAAGTGAGGGTCCTTCAAGCCCTCTCGCGTATTTACATTTGTAATTTTGGTAATATGAAGAATACTCCAGTTTTGTTTCTTTTAAGGAAATAGTGTTATGAAACAACTAAAAGTGTGGATGTCTCTTTGTATTTTCAAGAGGATTAATTCATGATTTATGACTACATTATGTATAGAAGTTACAATCCATAATTTTATTCATGTAGTGGAGAAACCGTTTCATAAGTTTTTTCATATTCTTGTAATAGTGGGTGTTTAATAGGATTGATGTACCGTTAATCTTGTAATACCTATATATAGAGGTACATTGACATCCTTTGGGATAACTTTTGATATTGGTTGGAATATAAGAATATCATTCTCCCTTTCTCTACTTCTTTCTCTAATATCTCTATTCATATTATAGTAATTTATTAGTTTTACAACACGTTATCAACACGAAATCTCTACTTTTGAGCAAAAGGTGAAAACGGAGGCTCTACCTTAAACAAAGGTGAAGCACAAGATTTTGTCGAAATTCTGCCCATATTTCTTCAAGAAAATTCTGAGAAGAAATAGATGTCAAATATTTAGGATTAAATAATGGTGATGATGTTATTTGTCTCATTGATAGTGTTACTATGCACACCATATTGAAAAATAAAAAATATTTTTCTTGTTTGAAAATGGGAGAGACAAACGTTAATACCATTAGTGGTAGTGCAAAATTAATTGAAAACTCCGAAAGAGCCACTATATTTCTCCCTGAAGGGATTAAAATTATCATAAATAATGCACTATTCCCCCCCAAGTCTCAAAGAAACTTATTAAGTTTTAAAGATATCCGCAAAAATAGATATCATAGTGAGATAATGACTGAAATAAATGGTGAATTTTTATTAATCACAAGTATCATTTTTGGTAAAAAATGCGTAGTAGAAAGATTATCTTTTTTTTCTTCTATCTTATTTTATGCACAAATTAGTGCAATTGAAATTCATTATCTAGTAGACCAGAAGTCTACTCATTCCAATGATTTTATGGTTTGGTATGATCGTCTCGGACATCCCGAATCTATAATGATGAGATGAATAATTGAGAATTCACATGGTCACTCATTGAAAAATCAAAAAGTATTAAAAACCAATGAATTCTCTTGTGTTGCTTGTTCTCAAGGAAAATTAATTATTAGACCATCACAAGCCAAGTTGGAACTGAATCCCTTACATTTCTAGAACGAATTCATGGTGATATATGTGGGTCTGTAGATCCACCATGTGGACTATTTCGATATTTTATGGTGCTAATTGATGTATCAACTAGATGGTCACATGTATGTTTATTATCTACTCGCAACCTAGCGTTTGCGAGATTGATTGCTCAAATAATTAAATTGCAAGCATAATTTTCAGATTATCCAATAAAGAAAATTCGTCTAGATAATACTGGTGAATATTCGTCACATGCTTTTGACGATTATTGTATGTCCATTGGAATAACTGTTGAACATCTTGTAACTTATATTCACATACAAAATGGTCCAACCGAATCACTTATTAAATGGCTACAATTAATTGTTAGACCATTGTTGATGAGGTTTAAACTTCCTTCATCTGTTTGGGGACATGCCATTTTACATGCAACAATACTTGTGAGAATTAGGCCGACAAGTTATCATACTTATTCTCTCATACAATTAACTTTTAGTTATGAACCCAATATTTATTATTTACGAATATTTGGTTGTGCGGTGTATGTCCCAATTGCACTACCCCAACGTAGTAAATTGGGCCCCAAAGAAAATTGGGGATATATGTCGGATATGAATCACCTTCAATTATTAAGTATATGGAACCATTAACAGGTGATTTATTTACTGCGAGATTTGCATATTGCCATTTTGATGAATCATATTTTTCGACATTAGGGGGAGATAAAAATCAACCTAAAAAGAAAATTACTTGAAAAAAATCATTGAATTTCCTTGATTCTCGTACTAAAGAATGTAAACTAGAAGTTCAAAAGATTATACATTTGCAAAAAATTACAAATCAATTACCAGATGTATTTAATGACTCCAGAAGAGTTACTAAATCACATATTCCTGCTAACAGGGGTCGAGCCTGTGCAATAATAATTATTAAAAAATCCTAATTAACACCACAATTAATTATAGAACAAATTCAAGTACTGGAGCAGGGACTCTAGGTGTGCAATGGATTACTTGATTTACCCTGTTCCCGAAGAGTTTGCTTGATCCGATATACCAGAATTGTCTATAAAAATATTAAATTTGCATACAATGGCAAGTAGGATCGATTCCATAGGGAACGGATAGAAAGTTGTTTCTTTCCAATAGAACAAAATTGGGGGATATTTAATGGAGTGAAAATGAAAATAAAATAAATAAAAGGGCAAAAAGTCCCAGTGGCCCTCAAACTATTACCCGGATGAAATTTTGGCCCCCAAACAATTAAATGTAAAGTTTTGGCCCCCGATCTATTCAAAGTACAAATTGTTAGACTTTCTGTGAAATTCATCAGTTAATACCGACGAAATCTACGATCACGTGAGAAGCACGCCGAAATACGAAGGGCATTTTTGTCCATAAAAAGCTGTTATCCACTTGGTGAAATGGGACTTCTTCCTGAACTTGAACAAAGAAAAACTCAATTGCAGCCAAAGAAGTCGCTGAATTGGAAGCATGCGAGAAACCAACAATCCAGATTTCCCATTGTGCAGGTGTGAGAAAATGTCGAGAGTTATAACTTCGTGGACCTCAAGAAATCCTGGACGGAGATTTGCGGTGTGCGCGGATGGTGGTTGCAGATTTTGGCAGTGGATTGACAAGGAGATGTGTAGCCGGTCAACGGAGATCATACCTGGACTTCTGAAAAGAATTAATGTAGTTGAACAACAAAGAGATGCGTATGAAAAAGAAATAAGAAGACAAGAAAGGAAAGTCGCAAAGTTGAAGGTCAAAGTGAAAGAACTAGAAAAAGAAATCCGTAGCAAAAAGTGGGTGAACAAGTGTCTGGTAAGATTGTTTTTGTTAACATGGATGCTTACAACTATAATCTTAGTTAGTTGGGGCAAAAAAAATGGAAATCTCACAGTTTTTAGGCAAATAGAAGGAGCAGTATGAAGATGAATGAAGTGGGTGCGCGTTATTGTTTCTGGACTCTGTAATGACTGTATCGGTAGATGTGCAATAAAATCTAAGTTTTGATTTGTTGAATGAAAAATCAGGCATGCTTTGCTGGGAAAAATCAGACTATATTTGCAAGGCTTTGTTGTTTCACTTGTTTGTTGAAATACTTTGTAATGTTGTTTCACTTGTAAAAGAACTGCCCTGCTTGAAAGGAATGACAAAGTGAAGATCAATTGAGTCCCAGTGGCCCTCAATGTGAAGACGCAGCACAATTCCATTAACTAGACAAAGACATGAACATTTGCAAAAGTGGAGTAAGCAAATATAAAGACCATCATATTATACTGACCCTACATAACCAATGCTGATGTCAATGGTCTACAAAAATATAGCCAGAATACAAAACGTAATCAGCACTAACAAAAGTTGATTGGAATTCATCCACTAACATCCAACGAGATTCAAGATTGTAAGACAAAAAACAGTTGGCAAAAAATGTGCATTAGAGGTCCCTCTTCAATCAGTTCTTGACTGTTGCTCCTCTTTAATTAGCTCTTCCCCGTCCCTTATCTTTTGTGGCTTGTCCTCCTCTCCCTCTACCTCTTCCACTCCACTTTCCTCTCCAAGAACCAATTGTGTACGGTGGCTCCTTACCCAAATATGCATAGTTAGCATTTATGGTTCCTTTTTCTGCATCAGTGAGTGGTTTTCGAGTTAAAGTTTTCCTGCTACGGGTTGGTAGACAAGTCTTTTCACTCAGGCCTGGGGTAGATGTTTGTTGCTGTTGTTGTGGTTGGTGGTGCCCAGGTTCATGATCATGGACTTCATGTGGTTGTTGCTGGCCTGGTTGCTGTTGTGGCTGCTCATGCGCAACTTCATCAACCTGCTGTTGCTGTGGTATTTCTGACTGCATAACCTCCAAAGTTTCATGAACCATGTTAGCTGCTAAACAGGAAAAATTAAAAGTGAACGTTGTTGGTTGTACTTACTGTTTGTCTCCTCCTTCTTGCATTTGGTTGCTGCGTCACAGGTTCAGTTGAAGTGTCTTGCTGCCCTTGTTCATTGGTTGGCTGCTTGCATGTTGCTACATTATGACCAGCCTCCCCACATTTTCGACAATGAATAATGACTCTTCTTCTTAGTCTTCTACCGTGATTCTTGCCTTCAGTTGTGTCCCTTCTCCTAGCCTTTCTAGGCCTTCCAGGTTGAGTTACTGATACCGGGGGCTCCAATTCAGGCATTGTTGATGGGGGCCAATGATCCTCACCGCTAATTAGTTGTAACACATTCTCATAAAGTTTCAAGAATAGCCCCCTACTATAACAAACATTCAAGTACTGCCGTGGGTCTTCATTCCTCAAAAGAATGGCAGCAATGGCGTGACAACATGGAATGCCACTACCCTCCCATAACTTGCAACTACAGTTCTTTTTCTCCATATCTACAGCAAATTGGGCCCCTCTTGGTCCTTTCACCTGGTAGCCATGCATTGTATTCCAAATAGGCATCCACTGACTTGCAATTTTTACTCTATTTTCAATAATTTCGTTGATTAGAGGTCCAGTTGGGCTATCATATCTTTCCATTGCTGATTTTCTCTTCCGGATCCTATCCATAAGGTACTCCCTGATCATTTCCAGCATTGTTATAATTGGCTGGTCTCTAGCCTCAAGAATATGTGCATTAAAAGACTCACACAAGTTGTTGACCAGCATGTCACTCTTTGTGTGAGTCGGAAAGAAGGCCTTGCACCAATGCCGAGGAGCTGGAGCATTTTTCACCCACTGATATGCCTCGTTATCAAAATCTTTGAGTTCTGCCATTGCTTTATTGTAGAGTTCCTCTGTTGTGCTGTTGGCAATACTCCACAGCCTATCCTTAAGAGGCAGACCTGGATATTTCTTCTTGAAGTTTCGATACATGTGTTGGACACAATACCTATGCTCACAATTTGGAAGAACTTCAGCTAATGCTCTATCCAACCCCTGTAAAGGAAGAAACAAAATATCAAGGAAGGTACTATGTATATACATACACATACATACACATGTTCACATTATTGCAAAGTGTACATGTGTATACCTTTTGTTGGTCAGAAATAAAGGTATAATGAAATTGATTTTCAATTTCCAAATCATCATTGAGGTATTTCAAGAACCACGCCCACTGCTCCGTAGCTTCTCTCTCTACAACTGCCCAGGCAATGGGCCACCACCCATTATTAGGGTCAGCTGCAATGGCAGTCAATAACTGCCCTCTATAAGTCCCCTTCAAATGGCACTCATCCAATGCTATCAATGGCCTCAAATCATCTTTAAATCCCTTTTTCAATGGCTCTAAACAGCAGTAGAGTCTCATAAATTTTGGGTTGCCCCCAGGCCCTCTAAATGGAGTAAACATCACCTCCATTGTGCTGCCCTCATGTGTCTTTTTTATCTCAACACAATATTCCCAAATTCTCTTATACTGTTGTTCAGCTGATCCCTTTATCATTTCAAGTGACAGTTTCCTTGCTTTGGCTGCTATTCATTTGGAAATTTGAGCTTGGTACTCCTCATTCACAGTTTGCCGGATCTCCCTAACTGGGATTTGAGAGTTCGACTTAATCCTCTCCATGTACCTGTCAGACAACCACTTAGACTTCAAGTTTTTATTTTTTCAGGCGTGATTGCAATTTTCATGCTTGTCATTCATGCTTTTAACTACCAAATCAGTACTCCCAAGTGCTTTTTCAATTGAGGCAAACACGAACCATTGGCATGGGGCCTTGCACTTGGCTCTCACCCTTTTACTCTCATTCCTCTTGGTGTATACTGGCCTCCTTCTTGAACAGTTGCCTCAAACTGAGCTCTTGAACCAAATTTCATACCCAACTCAAATCTGGTATCAATTTTGAACTTCTCCATACAAAAATCTTTGTACCTTCTTTGGAATTGGTCACCATCTTCTTCTTCTTCTGATGAGCCACCATCACTGCTAAGGTGGTCTGGGATTACATCTTCAGCCAATGTATCAGCAGCTTCTGGTTCATTTTGAGCTTGTTGCTGCTGTGCTTGTACATTTTTCCTTCTCCTAACCTGTTTTTTTTCTGTTGTGGCTGCTGTGCATCATGCTGTTGTGAAGAGAATGTGCCTGTTGCTTCATTATTTTGCTGTGAATCAGGCTGCACCTCATGTGTTAGTGGCTCATCAAACTGCTGCTCTGAAGTTCCACCCCCTGTTGTCTCTGGTATCAAACCATCCAATAGTGCCTCATCGCCACAGTAGTCACCACTGCTAAATCTGTCAGAGTCATGCTCTGATTCTGATTCTTCAACATCTTCTATGACTCCTTCCTCAAAAGGTTGTTCACTGCTATTATGGTCAACAGGATGCTGGATAGTAGAAGTTTCGAATGTGTCTTCTTGCTGGTCTGTTGAAGCAGAGACAGTACCTCTTTCTGGATCTAGTTCACTAGCTTGCTCATGCTGGATAGTAGAAGCAGAGGCAGCACCTCGTTCGAATATGCCTTGATGCTGGTCTGTTGAAGCAGAGGTAGTAGCTCTCCCTTCTAGATCTAGTGCACGAGCAAGCTGCTGGATGCTCTGTCCATGTCCAGCACTATGAGGTTGCTCTGATGACCCAATTTGTTTCTGCTGTAAACCTAAGTTCTGTAACACATCTCGATTATCTTTTGTACCAGTATGTTCCTCAAATAACAGACCCATTCTAAAACCTTTTCCAGAAAATGGTTCCCCTATTATTCTTCCCTGCTCATCCAACTCCTCAATCACAACACCACAACGTTTATTTTCTACTGGTTTAACAATCAAAGGAGACCTAAATTTTTCAATTTCTTCAGGTGTCAGGTGGTTACAAAATACCTCCATCACCTTAAACTTGTAAGCCCATTCTGAAAATTTGTTAACATCCTCATCAGTGCATAACTCTCTTAAACCATTGGATAGATCTTTATTTGGTTCAAGATAGTAATACAGTATAGCAGCTCTACGATGTCCTAATTTTTCCACCATCTTATTCAGTTCAAGAATGGACATTTTCTCGGCGCTGCAAAGATCTATATCATCTACATCTCCATCAACATACCCCACATATTGTCCCCAATTAATTCTCCCCCCATGATGCAAACGTATAGTAAACCATTCAGAATCAGCCTCTGCAACAATTTTAGCCTCAGGTCAATATAATATTTAAAAAAACAATGTAAAAGATACCAACATTTCAGTGGCCCCTTTTTGTCGGACATGGTTAATGGGTAAAATAAAAAAATAATGTAGGACCACTGAAGCGAATATTAATTTCTACAGTAAAAGATACCAACATATAGGACCACCAATCTTCCCGACAAACTGAAAAATTTGACTAATACCATCTTTTTAAACGTTATTGACACGCTTTGTTCCTCTATTATATACAAACCATCACTGCTCAGAAGAAAATGGAACAAAATTAAGGTCAGACCACTTACCGTAAACAAGAAATGGATCAAAGTACACGTCTGGCTTCCTTATTTTCCACTCCATTTCGCTTCAATGTCTACTTCCACGGTGCTGGTATTAGTGCTCGTAGTCGGAAAGTTGCAGCAAGGACCGTTAATGGCAGGCAAAGGGAGATGTAGACACCAAATTTTTGGTGTAATTTCATTTTTAGTTTTTTATTTGTCATGTTCGTTTTTTAGTTTTAGTTTCTAGTTTTATTTTTATTTTTAAGTTTTTATCTAGAATTTCTTGGGAAAAAAAGGAAAAAGGAAAAAGCATTCAAAAAATATGATTTAGTCATTTGTAATTTAAATTCAATACTTTCTTGAAAAAAAAAAGGAAAAAAGTGAAAAATGATGAAAAATGAAAAAATAAAAGGAAAAGATTGAAAATGGCAATTTTGTTGTTTTAGTTTGTTTATTTTGATGTAAAATTGTTGTTTTTTTTATTACTTAGTTTTTATTACCATTTTTGTTTAATTAGTTATAAAAAAAAAAAAAGGGATACGCGAGTGCAAGCTGCGTTTTTTCGCAGCTTGCAAAGGAGCAGTTCGGTGAGCCCCTTGGGCTGCAATTTTTGAAGAGATTGCTGAGGGTTTTAGGGTTGAGAGCTGCATATAAAAAGAAAGCAGCAGGACAGCCGCAAAAGGGGGATGGGCATTTGAGCGAAGGTTGAGCAAAAGAAACCCACGGGGGAAACAAGAGGGAAGGACGAAGGGAAAAACTGAGAGCAGGGGTTTTGGAGGGGATAGAAAGAATCAAGAGGGCATCGAGCAAAGGCCGAGGGAAAAGGGCGGCTGGAAAGGGTCTGTTTGAGAGAGCAAAAGAGAGAACGAAGGTAAGCTTGGAGGAGGAGAGTAACGGCTGCAGAAAATTTGGGAAAAGAGAAGAGAGTTGTCGGCTGGCCTTTTTGAAAAAAAACCTGCGGAGATTGAGAGTGGGACTAGAAGGATTGAGAGTCAAAGGGGGAGGGCTGAGTGAAAAGCTGAGATTGGAGGAAGACTTGGGCTGGAGGAAACTGCAAAGGAGTTCTCGGCTGTGTGAGTGAAGGAACCAGAGGAGGAAGAACGTGGGCAACCGGGAAGATTAAGCTTTTTGGGCTGAGCAAGGACACTTTGTTCATCATCCAAGATTCTGTTTTTTCCTTTTGAAAAGGATAAAGGTAATGCCTTTCACTTGTCTTCTGCCCATAGATTATAAAATCATGTCTGAAATGTTGAAGCTTTGCTGCGATGCTGGTTTTGTTTTGCCGTGAGTTTTGCTTTTCTTTTTCTGCACTTCTGGGATTGGCAGCACGGTCAGGTTTACTGGATTTGGGGTGAAGTTATGAGAGTTATGTGATTGGGGATGGGCCGTTGTGCAGCTTGACTGGGTTTTCTTTTCCTTCTTCGCATGAGTAGATTTGGTTTGGATTGAAATATTTGCAGAAACTGATTAAAGCTTGTGTCTTTTGCTGTTTTCTTTTGCTGCATTTTCTTTGTTGTTTTCGATTGGAATGGTCAGTAGATAGATTCATGTTTAAAGATGTGTGCGAGTGGATTTGTAGATGATGAATGCCGTGCAATACTCTTGGCAATCCATTCATTCAATTTGTAAAAAATTTCTGCCGCAAGGCAAGGGCTGCACGCCTACTTGCTGTTTTTCTCTACTACCAGCAATAGCAAACTAAATTTTTTTTTAGTCATCTTTTGCTAGCTTAATCTGTTTGAATGGGAAGGAAATGAAAGGCTTGGTTTCAGTTTGTACGTTGTGAAGGCTGCAATACTTGAGCTGGAAAATGGATTTCAGATTGCTAGCTATTCTACATGATTGTCTGTCAGAATTTCGGTAGTCCATTAGCCCTTTGATTGTTCTTGTTGGTTTGGAGTTAGAGTTCAGTAGCCTGTTGTGAGTTAAAGTGAGGATGTTGGGTTGGAAATATTTAATCAAAGCCTTGTCTATGAACCAAAATCTGGTCTGCACTATGAAAAGAAAAATCTGGTTACCGAAACCATTTCTGCATTTATTTTTCAGAACTTTGGGACGATACATTTCTATGTTTTATGGTCATTTGGGTTGTGATCATTGTGTGGTCCATTACTTGGTTTGAAGTTGTGGCTTTGGGTTGAAAAATATCTATCCAAGGTTGTGTATTTGAATTGAAAAATCTGTTTTGGCTTGAAGGCAAAGTGCAGCAGTTTTTCTTTGAAGTTTAATAGAAATAGGTGCAGAAGCTTTTTGTCTACGTAGATTGCATGAAGATTGCATGAATAATTTCCAGAATTTTAGCCTTTTGACCCCTCAAGTCTCCTTTCATTTCAGTATGACCCAATCAATTGAATAATCTTCTCAATTTGGTCCTTGGTAGTTTTAATTTTACAAATTCATTGCTTGTTTGTTTCAATTGTCTACCATGCTTCGCTTCAATTGCACTTAATTCATGACTTTAGGGGCTTTATGGCCAAGTGAGCTTGTGTTTGCCTATTTTCTTTGTTTTTCCCAAATAAAGTGGTACCTTGACCGTTTTATTGTTTTGAAGTCATTTTTCTTTCATTTGGGGCCCAATTGCAAGGGAGGTAACCTCTATCTCCTTGATTTTCATTTCTCCTATGTGATCCAACGTGCTAAGTGTGAATTGCATGTCTACGTTGCTTTCTTTGCCTTTCCTTAATTCCTTGAATTTATTTCATTTATTTTTTACTTTTATTTAAGTTCTTCATTGTGGGGTATGTGTACACCTCTTGGCTTGTAATAGATAATTTAAGTTATTCTTTATGGGGTATGTGTACACCTCTTGGCTTGTAATAGATAGGGCTTGGAGGAGCATTCGATGAATACCTGTTGAAGACATGTGCCTAGCTAGCAAATGTAATAGTTAGGGCTTTAATTGCTTTATGTGTCTTGCATGCTTAGTTGCTATGTGTTAATTTGCTTTATTAGGTTCTTGCATCTAGTCGAGCATGCTAATTGTTATGTGCTATGTGTTTATGGGTGTTTGGCATGTCTAATCGCTTTCCATAGCCATGAATGAATGTGAT